GGAAGCTAGCTAGCTTTGTCAGGCATTGAATTGTTGGACCATTGAAGTAAGATAATATTTTCACAAAATCACTAGTGCCCGATGAGAAATTAGTAATATTCTTGGAGATATATTAACGTTTGATGGGAATTCACTGATGTTCGAAATTTATAACTGTTCCTGATCAAATGTCGTATATTTTCCGATTGATAGGGGTTAACAAAATCACACATTTGTTTTTTTGGTGCGATGCCCTGCTGTTTTTATAGGCAAGACACTTAACTGGATACGGAAATGGATACTGTTGATTCCTGTGTTCACGAATGTTCTACAATTTTGAAGAATTGGCGGGAATTTTGCCTTACCTAATTAACACAGTAACCTAGACACGCCCTCAAATATAAACTTATTCAAAACAAACGTTGACATTAAAATAAATATATAACAAATTCGTTATAAGCAACACATATCTGATACTACAAGTCACGCATATTTATAAATACAAATTCAATCCAAACAACGTGCATATTAAAAATATATACATAATAATAAATTCGTTACACTTGTTACTCCACAATTAAGTTAAACTGTATTTTTCAACTTTTGTTGATTTCCTTGCCAAAGTGATGATAATGTGTACAAAATTTTTTATGAAATACGAAATATTGTTCCTTATTTTGTCAATAAACATTTTTTATATTTATAGTTGGAGAGCAGAAAAGATGCTTTTTCTCCTAAGCTTCATGATTTCTGTCTTAATCATCCTATTTCTGTGATTCGTAATATTGCTACAGTATTGAATCTGGGTAAGTATGATGCATTACAGTATAATTTATGAATCTAAGATTTAAATTATTGCTATCATAGCATGTTAACAGTATTAACAGTTTGTTACAAATATATTCTATATCATTAGTTGACAATAGTGTCATCATGTATTACAATATAATTTATGAATCTAGGACTTAAATTATTGTTATTATAGCATGTTAACAATATTAACAATTTGTTACAATATATTCTACATCATTAGTTGACAATAGTGTCATCAGTGTTTATAACTTACAAGCTTCTTTTTTTGTCATGAAGTAAAACATCAACTATACTTTGCATATGTGTTTTTGCACGTGCCTCTGACACATGCATATACACATTTATATAGAAACAATTGACTAATAATATTTAAAAAGTATTTCCTGCATTTGTTTTTGAGCTGATCCTGTGGTCATAAAGATAATAGAAATTTGAATTACTGAGTAAGGAAAACTTGAATTGACATAATACATTGCGTATTTAAATGAATTCAAAAATGTTTGTTATTTTTAAATAAATATAAAGAATTTGCATATTTGAAGTTTGTTTAAATTTGATTAATTCTAAAATAATTCAAGAATATTTTAACTCTAATATCAAGTTACTTAGATTATATTTGTGCTACTTGTTGTGCAGTTATGTACAAGAAAACATTTCTTTTCAGAAAGTTGAAGTCTTTAATATACAAGGTAATTAAAAATTGTTAATTTAAAAAGGGAAAAGGGATTGTCAAAATGCAAAGATTATATTTTCAAGCTTACAACTAGGGACTATAAAAGAAAAAGTAAAACTTAGTTGGAAATAGTGTCTATATTAATTTTTCAAGCTACGAATTCCCATTTTTATACCATGTCTATAGTACTTATCAAATTTAGTGGAGTCAAAAGAGGGATATGTAGCTTGAGAAAATAATGTAGACACTATTTCCAGCTTAATTTGTTTTTTATGTTCATTTATGGAGAATAAATTTTAATCTACGTCCGTGCATAGGAAGCCACTCACAACGACATCGCATATTTTATATATAACTATGTAAATCAACTTTCAGTGAAAAATAATCAACTTTTAAAATAAGTCATGAACATTCGCAGTATATCTGTCTAGGTTTTGGTGCAAAATAACCATTTTCCAAAATAGCCAATTTTTCTGTAGGCATGTAAAACAAAATATGAATAATAATAATAAAATATGCACTTAGAATTTCACTGATGTACAAAAATCAGTAAAATGAATTACCACTCACAAAAGTAGAGAAATATACTATTGTAATCGTCTACTGTTAGAAAACACACTGAAATAATTGCAGAAAACCACATAGATACAAAGTACAACAGCAAACTCAAGAAATGATGAATCCTCAACATGGCAGTTTTGACTGAATGTGATAAAAGATGCACATGTTATTTTCCAATTAATGCATATTAATAAAACACCAGATTTTTTCAATGGCCAAAAGTGAAGAACTTTGAGAAATTCTTCGTGGTGAAAAAATGAAGGTACTTGAATTAATTTAAAACTACCCAATGACATGTTCATTAGTGCATTAATTACTATTGTCCAAGTTTCATTGTAATATTCGTTGCTACTTTTTTTGTAGTGGCTTGTGAAAGTAATCAATAATAATATGGCTGGAGACACAGTTATAAATATATGCATTGTTTATTCTAATAAAATGAAGTGTTTCTGACTAGTATAATGGTAAAGAAGAATGTAGAAAGTTTTAGAGGGTGGAAATCTCTACTTTCAAGAATCAACTTAAAAATATATTATATTTTAAAAATAATCATACAACCTTAGCAGGAGTTTATTTAGTAGCTGTGCATAGATTTGGTGCAATATACCCAGCCGTCTTTGCTGAGAGCTTCGGTGCTTCAATGGATTTGAAGACAAACTTGGCCAGTAGCAATGAAAAGATTGATAACATCCCTCCTTCTCTTTCAAGAATCAACATAAAAATAGTCCTATGACCTGTGCAGGGGTATTTTAGTAGGTTTGCCAAGGTTTGAAAAAAATATCCATAGCTGTTTATGTTAGCAACTTAACCATTGAGATAGAAGGTCACAAGTGTTGTTTCAAGAACAAGTCTTCTTTGAAGATGGTTTTTGCCCATATGTTCTTTAGAATTTTTGTGAAATTCCTGGGTGATCCCTATTACTATGTGGTTCATGATATAGCTATGCTTTTATGTTATATCTTTAAGGTATTACTGATTAGATCTTGTTTTTGAAGATATTTGTAAGATAATTAAAATGATCAGTTTTTGTTAATAAAAAATACGTTTTTTTCTAAGTACTCGTTATTTTTTAATTTATATCATAATCACAAACTCGTAGCAACAGAAGAAAGAGTAATTTTCAGGTACAATAAGGTGAGAAAACTTCAAAATATTTCTATTGTCTATACCATATATTGTAAGAATAAATCTTATATTTCAATTATTAAAAAGTAACTACTAAATGCAATGTAAAAAGAACAACTTTAGTATTGAGAGATCTGTTGATAAATGTTACACAGAGTAAGTTTCATATGAATTTTGAGATGCAACAAGATAGAAGAAAATTGTACAATTTTATCATTTCACTATTTCAGATTTGGGGTTATTCTCTACAAAAACTTTAGTAGAAGCTAATCCAGATCATAGCATCGAAGTCAGAACTCAAGTATGTATTGTTAGAATGTTTCTTTCATTAAATTGTAAGTTCTTATACATTTCAAACAGACTTTGGAAAAGTTGATCATTGAGAATTTTTAATTCATAAATAATTTAAAATTATTATGTGCAAGTGATGACTCCTTAGGTCAAAAACACAAGTCTAAATATGTTTTCTTTAATGCACTTTTATGTACACCATTGAAGTTAGGTAACTGTAGTTCACTTTTATACAAATATGTAACTTAAGGACAATAAGGGACCTGTTGGTACATCTAGGCGGTCCTATCCATTAAATTAAACTTTAAAATGAAAATCAAATGGTCAATGATAGCCCTAGCCATAGTCAATGATGCATTAACACCATCCATTAACAATCTTAACATGGCTTAAGAGGGTGATCAACCTTTACACCAAGATCCTTTTCTTACATAACATTGTTAAGATCATTCCCATCAAACTTGTACTCATAATTCAGATTATGATATCCCACATGCATTACATTGCACTCATTTTAATTACAAGCCATCTGTCATTTAGTCAAGTTAGCAAATAATCCAAACATTATTGTAAAGCAATAGCATCCTCCTCACAGCCAGCAACCCCCAACACCTTAATATCATCAGCAATTTAAATAATTTATTGGCCATTCCTTCATTTATGTCATTGGTGTAAATCAAAAAGAGCAAGGTCCTAACACTGAGCCCTGAGATACTCCACTTATAACATCAATTCAATTTGACTGAACTCCATTTATAACAAAACACTGCTTTCTCCCATTCTGCTAGACTTCTGTCCAATGAGCCAATCTATCCCCCACACTTATAGAGATAAAATTCAAAACAATCCTTTTATGCAGCATCTTGTTAAATGCTTTCTTAAAATCCAGATACACTGAATCCTCATCTGCTTAAGCAGTAACCTCTTCAAAGAATGTAAAAAAATTAGTTAAGCAAAGTTTTTCCATATTAAAACCATGCTGATTATTCAGTGAAATTTTAAAATTTCTTAAATGACTTGCAAAGCATCCTCTATCAGATTTTAAAAACTTTTCCCACCACTGATGTAAGACTGATAAGCCTAAGATTTTTTCACCTTCTTTGGAAAAAAAAAAGAATAATATTAGACAACTCCCAATCATCTGGCATCTGTCCACTATTCAAGAACTTACAAAAAACAGTAACAAGTAGCTCACATATCCAATCCTTAACCTCCTTCAAAATCCTTGGGGAAATATTATTTTGATCAATAATTTTATCATTCTTTCAACTTCCCAATTTTTTCTTAACAAGCTCAGAATTAATGTAATCATCTTATTTGATCTTATTTCAAACTAACAAAAGGTTCAGAATGAAGAATAATTGCTTAAATCCTCATCAGCAAAAATAAAGAAAAAGTAGAATTTCTTAACCGAGCCATCTCATAATCATCAGGCATGAGCTTTTCTGTATCATCCTTCAAAGGCCCTACTCCCATTCTAACATTTTGTTTACCCTTAATGTATTTAGAGAAATACATTTTCAGCCAACCTTTTTTTCATGTAGTTCTTCAATTTCCTAATATTCCATTTGACTAACTTTTATAATTCTCTTAGATTGCTGATCAAAGCAGTCAATTTAAACTTTTTAAGATTATAATGCTTTTCTTTAATTTTTATACTTTCTTGAAATTTGGAACCAAAATGTCATCATTCCTTATCTCCATATGTAGCAAAACATGAAATCTAATTCACTAATGATCACTTTCACCGAGATGCCCCCAATCTTCACCCTATCAACCCTTTCTTTATTAGAGTTAACAATGAACTTAAATAGTATTGTTCCTAGTAGGTTCCTTAAACAATTGTTGAAAAAAATGACCGTGAACAATTTTTCATGACTTAACTTTAACAGCTCCTAATCGATATGCCTGAAATTAAAATCCCCTATAATTATGACTTCATTAACAACTACATTCTTTATCTGACTGTAGAGTTTCTAGCTAATTCCATCAGTTTCAGCTGGTGGTCTGTAACAAATTCCAACTAAAAACCTTCTTCCATTGTAACCCAAAAACGTTCAATCTCATTACTATTAACTTTGTTATTTTCAAGCTGAACAAGGTGTAGCTCACATTTTACATATAAAGCCACATCCCCCCCCCCCCTCCATTTTAGCACTATACTAATTAATGTATAGCCCTGTATTTCAAATAAATTCTTATAATTAAAATTATCTACACTTAACCAGGTTTCAGTTATTCCCATTTTATCAAAATCCTCTCTTTTACCTTATGCTCTCCATTTTATTTCTTATACTTCTAGCATTACAATAATAACAGTTTAGTCTACCATTAAATTAAATCTGTATATTGTTCCTACATTATAATTTTCTTTACATCTTATTTCTTCATAATTCTGGTTCTTACCACCATGTAGTGCTAGTTAATAACTGCTCTTATGGATAATAGCCCTTGTAAATAAGCTAGCTGCTACCCTATTGAAATGTAAACCATCCATTGCAAAAAGCTCCCCTTTTCCATTGAACTGATTCTATAAAACCAACCAGCTATATTGTTTGTCCTTGCATTTTAACCTAAGCAAGCATTCAGCCCTGGTGACTTACTTATAATTTTATCCCAACAATTAAGTTTTGGTAGTATCCCCGACAAAATTAAGTTATAATGGTCCTAGCATAATCTAATTATTGTTTCTCTATTTACCTCACAGATTATCCTATTCAAGTGCTGTACTAAAGAATCACCTGTAACTAACCTTCTTATGTTTTTCATTTCCATCCCTATCTGCCCCTTTTGTTTTCCATTCCTTCCCTTGTTCCTTATTTATACAAGCTAAAGGCTGAAATCTTTTACTTAACAGAATCTGTTCAATATAGTTAAATCACTACTTTTAGCTCTATTAGTACTGTTTCTAACTTTCTGAAAGTTGATATTATCTGCTGTATCCTTTGAGATCTTGCTGCCATTTCCCACAATTTCCCATTCTTTTTATCTGTCACCTCTTCTCTATTTAGTATAGCCTCAAATTTCTCTTCCAACATGCAAACTCTACGTACAAATTGCACATCTTCACAACTAGTTTCCTTAACCTGATTCACTGCAGCTGGTATTATACACACACACATATATATATATATGGCCTCTAGATGTTTTTTCTGTTCAATGTGTCAACTCGTCAGACTGAAAGATGTTGTCATAAAAGCCTTTCTGACATCTTTGAGGAAAACTGATGCACAAAAAATGGAAATAATTGACTTACTGTATGGAAATATATAGCATAATTTCGATTGGACAACATTACCACAACAGTTTATGATCCCACATCTTGGACAGGAATTTTAAAAGCAAGAATCTGTATGCATACCAGCCACAATGAACAGAAAAAATTTAAGAGGCCATATATGTACCAGCTGCAGTGAATGGGTTAAAAGTGCACCCTGTTCCTAAGTTTAGACAATAAATCCCACTCCTCGCACCTATCACACTGCACAAACTGTAAGCACTTAACCTACACTACTCTTGACCATTGTAACCTAGAAATAAATAATCAACACTAAATACAAGCTGCATATTGACAATACTCTTAAGCTTAATGGTAGAGTAAAATATATTACACTATTTTATCAAAATCTCATCTTCTCATTAAATTAAATAAGCTTATCCAATAAGAAGTGACAAATATCTAGTCTAGATTATATTTTTGAAGTGATACAATATACTTAGCTGTTTTTCAACTTACCAATAAGCTAAATTGTAGCTAAAGTCACATGACACTTACTAAGCCCAATCTAACATTTGTAATGCTTACACCACCAAGCCCTAATTTAACACTTTAATCCTAATACCATTGTTACATATCTGCTTGTTTGATAATTTCTGGTACAAATTCTTTCGGAGGAACTTCAGCGATACAAGTCCTTTCTTGATTAAATCAGTTTATTCTTCCTTGATACAAACTTTAGTACACAGTAGTTCCACAGTCAATACGTTTCTCGTCACTTTAAACTTAACAACTTTTATAATACACGCTATAAATCACAGTGATTCACACACTTTACTTACCATCACTACTGTTTGCTTCTTTAATTATCTATATGTATCGCTGGCTTCTCTTCCAGGCTTATATACTAACAAAGGAGGTGTATCGAATGCACTTGGGCCTCCCTGATCATTCGAGAAATTTCATGCAGGCTACCAGCACCAAAAGCGCTAGCAGCGTCACGTGACTTCCGCTGTCGTAACACTGCCCCTTCCTTAGTATTGTTTGTCCCGAACAATAGCTACTTACATTAAACCAATAGATAATTAACAATAACTTAATTAAATGTACAGAATTTTCAAACACAAAATTAAAATACAACAAAGTCTTAATTTTTTAGGACATTTCTTCTTTCGTACTGATCTCTGTCTTATTGTCTTCTGCTTTACTTGGGATTCATCTGCTCCATCAGGAAATGTCCCATTATCGGTACACAACCTTGTATAATGTCCTGTCACACCACAGAGCTTCTGTATGGCTTCTGGT